ACATACATAGCACACACACATATTACACATACATCACAATACATACATATCATACATGCACGTATGCAAACACATCACACACACACAAATGTTTAAAAAGAAAACAAACTCATTCTGCATTTATGTTCTTTGACTTATTTTGCCCTCTTGGTGTAGGACCAAATAAAGAGTATACTTATTGAAAACAAATCATTGAACACTGCAAACCTCTTCCATCAATTAAGTCTACTTATTATCTGAAGTTATTTGATATGAAGGAGATTCTGATAGCATAATGGAGCTTGAGAGGTTGATTATCTGTTTTCTCAACTAGAACGTTTTTCAATAAACTGGTTTTTTTCCCCCTTAGGGCCAGTGAGAATCCTACTGTAAAGTTTATAAATCCTGTTTTATTAATCTCTCCATATAATCCCACTTGTATAGGACAATCATACTAATCAATTGCATGATGTGATGATTTGAATCTAAAATACTGAACAACGTATAACATGGCTACATTCGTGATAACTAAATGTGTGTTTCCTTGTATGTATTTTCGGTGGTCATCATCCTGGAATGGTACTTAAGGTGAGATTCCTCTAGAGATGAGAGAGCAAGCCAAGGAGAATTGACTGACTTTAGAACACTGTCTTTAGATTGAAGCTGAGTCAGCGGGTTTCCCATGCACCCATAAAACATCCCCTTTCCAGGGCATGCTGGATTTTGAATTACTTTTCTTACACTGGCACTGCCTCCTGATTGGTTCTGTGCCAGGGCTCAGCACGGTCTCTCAGAACGGGATGGGTTGTAAATATTTTGAACTCGGCAGACCACGTGTTCAGCTCTGCCCCTGCATCTGGAATGCAGCCTTAGGTAACAGAACAGACAAACAGCTTGCCCACGGTTTGCTGACTGTTGCCACCCACGGGGGGTTATTACTGAGTGTGAGCTCCACCTGACTAGGAGGATTTGAGTCTTATGACACGCTATTGCTGTCTCTCAGGCTGACTGGTAGAGACACAGGCAATGAAATATGGCTGAAATTTTAGTTCTGTGGAATGTGGGTAATAAATTCTGCTTTAGAGAGTGTGCTGCGGGGATTCCAGGAGAGTGGATGCCAAGTGCCTAACACAAAGGAAATGTTTCAAGAAAACAGTGTTTTCTTCTCTGACCCTGCCACCCTGTCCTTCGTATGTACATATGAAGCCAGCAACCATAGCCCATTGCTGTCCACACACGCTTCCATTCTCTTGAAAATGTAAAGTTAATTCTAACGAACTTCAGATTCAGGTGATGCTATCCGGAAAAACAAATTCTGTCTCCAATTTCTGGGAATTCATTTTGTATAATTCACATGAATGTTCATCTATAAACCAGAGCACTACTGATCAGAGTGTCCAACCAAAGGCTTTTGTTCTGAAAACCTGGGCAAATAAAAGGCACTCACAATGCACACCTACCAGCGTTTAAAGAGCTAGACTCAAGAGACCCTCCCCGAAAGATAGTCTGGTGATATTGGTGCTATGGCCATATCTCCACCTTAAATTCTTTAGGGAATTCATTGTAGTTCCGGAAGTGTCAGCTTAGGGAAGTGATAGTACTTAAAATCAGCCTCCTTGGGAAAGCCCATTTGAAAACACGTGCACACGTGAAGTCCCAAGGTTGGAAGTGCTTTCATCTAGAAAGTGCTATGCAGTACTGGGCTGTGTTTGCCTTCTCGTGTAAACACACTTGGATACTCTTGAACAGTGTGCAGTCGGCACTAGACTTTCATAGCTGGGGAATAGCTAAGCCTTTCCACAATTCAAAAGAATTTGCTTCCTCTCTGGGGGATTTATTACAGTTAATGCCAGTGTATCCACTTTAACCTGTGGAAACTAATAATCTCATTAAAGAAGTAGGGAGCCTGGGAGTATTGGCTCACACCTTTAATGCCAGCACTTTGGCGGCAGAGGCAGGAGGATCTTTGTGAGTTCAAGCCCAGCATGGTCTACAGAGTGAGTTCCAGAACAGCCAGGGCTACATGGAGAAACTCTGTCTGAAAAGCCAAAAAAGCCAGGTGGTGGTGGTGCACCCCTTTAATCCTAGCACTTAGGAGGTAGAGGCAGATGGATCTATGTGAGTTCGAGAACAGCCTGGTCTACAAGAGCTAGTTTCAGGACAGGTTCCAAAGCCACAGAAAAAAATCCTGTCTCGAAAAACCAAAAAAAAAAAAAAAAAAAACCAAAAACAAAAAGACAAAAAGGGGGAGCAATGTATTTGGGGGAATACCAGGCACCCTAATAGTTAAGAGATATTGTTTCAAGCATGAGACGTGAAAATGGAATGTTTTAATCGAGGATTTTTGATTTTGGTATCAGAACTCCACTATATAACACATTATACTGTTTCTTGGTTTATGTGTGCCTTCATTTGTTCAAAGCACACATCTTTTAAAGCATTACCCTTTTGAAGCATTTTGCTATGTGTCAGGCACACAGTATGCTCAAGATAAGCATATAAATATCCTAGCATAATATATTTAATAAATATTACATCATATGACAAGACCCGGAAGAGTTGTGCAGTGGACAGGGCTCACTCAAAGGGGCCCCAGCACTCAGCAAGAGCATGGGAAGTGGTCAGAGGAGCTTCATAGAATATGCAAACGATACTCTTGCTGGGTACGGAGTCCTTGTGGCGAGGCAGGAAGACCAGAGACTGAAGGCCGAGTGGACTCTAGTAGCCAAGTTAAAATAAATAAAGATTTTTCATTAGAATATTTTGTGAGTAGCTTGATGGAGCCGAGGCATGGCTACATAGCCGTCTTGGAGGAAAATTTCCTGAGGGTCACAGTCCTTTATCTGACTGGCCAATTGTCTCTTGACTACCATCCTAGCTTTTTCTCAGGAAAGTCTACCGACGTCTTCCGTGGGTGGCACCCATGATAGGCGACTGACGTGCTTTGGGTTTCAGGGGACACAGATGTATGTGCCTCTGATCTTGGGGAACTTGGATTTACTACAGTTCTGCAGAATAAGGAGAAGGCAAGTGTGTGGGTATTTCGGTGGAACAACCAGGCCTCATGTAGAACTGGAACATGGGTCACTCACCTCCAGAGTTAAGGAAGACCTCCAGTTCCTCAAAGGCGCTGCTGAGGTTGTTACCATATAGACAGCCCCTCATTCTTCTGTGCAAGTGAAGACTTCTCTGTGCTCAGTTTAACTCCCCGGCTTCTGAATTCTGCTGTTGGTTTGGTCCTTGCTCTCCGTCTTAGCTCCTCTGCCTCGTGATTTACCTTTGGTTGTACTAGCTACAGAGACTGTTTCTTGGCTGAGTCTCCTGCCTCCTATTCCACTCTAGTTTGAGTTGCTCTCTGTGGACTTGTGTACAAAGAGTAGTTAACAGTAGGCACAAGATTGCTGTCTCTTTGCGGTGTGGTGGTGGTGCACGCCTTTAATCCCATCACTGGAGAGGTAGAGGCAGGTGGATCACTGTGAGTTCAAGGCCAGCCTGGTCAGCCTGGTCTACAAGAGCTACTTCCAGGACAGCCAGTGCTACACAGAGAAATCCTGCCTTCAAAAAAAAAAAGATGCTATTTCTAGAAAGATCCGCTTACAAGTCTGGCCCCTTGACTGGCATCTGGAAGCTTAGGGTCCAGGAGAGTTCCCACCCATTCTCTGAATTATGTGTGACTTCTTATGCTTAAACTGTTTAAACAACACAGTCCTCAGTCAGTACTTTCCTTCTGGTACTCAGGGACTTGGGTCTGCACCCTAAGGGGAGTACTAGTGTGCCAGGCACTCAGAACCAGCCCACCAAGTCTGTAACGCACTTCCGCTGAGGGCAGCACCGCACTTCCACTTCCGCTGAGGGCAGCATTTTCTACCAGGTGTTATCACTCGTGACTCCCTTGGGAGAAGTTCGAACAGAGCTTCCTCCAGACTTTGCCCCGTGTGTCATTTCCATTGGAATCTGTCACTGTTAGAGCTATATATAAGACCGTCCCACGAGTCCTTCAGCAAAGCACTGGGCTGGAGTTCAGGAGCCCAGACTTCCGGTGCCCTTGCTTCCGGTCTCTTCCCTCCCAGCACTCCTTATCAGGCAAGGCTCTCTTCTCCCCTTCTTCCTCCTTATCTAGTGCCCCTCCCCTATCCTAGCTCTGTTGGATTCTTGACTTCATCAGACATTCCCCAAATGCCCTGCTCTGCAGTCTCTGGCTTTTGTTCTTACATTTTTTTCCCCTGTCTGTATCTTTTCTCTCAGATCTCTGCCTCAGTTTCTTTTTCCCCCTTCCCTCACAGATGTTTTTTAATCTACATCTGCTCTTCTGTAGCGAATGAGCGGTTTGCCAGCTTCTGGCTTGGCTCCTGCTGCTTCTCCAGATCCCTCCCCTTGCTGACAAATGAGGCTTTGGGACTAAGTCCAAACCTACACAGTATGAGGGAGATAGGTGTGCTTGTTTTTAGAAGCTATCCCCTGGCTGGAATGAATTCCACTCTTCTCTCCTGTTCCTGTTAAGTGAAGTAAGTTGTAGCATTTGAAGTCTTGTCAGGTGACTTGGATAAAGCTGGGGACGAAAGGAAAAAGACACGGATGTTATCTCATTCCCTTAGATCTAGATTGGACAGTCGACAAAACACAACAAATGCAAATGCTGCTATTTCCGGGGTCTATGCCTTTAGAATGGTAGTGTCTAGCTCCCTCCTGAAACTCTGACATCATCTTGCTGTGAAACCCGGTATCACTTTCCAGAGGACAGAAGACACTATGGTGAATAACAGGTGTCCCGGTGCAGAGCCACCAGCTGCCGGATGTGTGAATGAGGTCTCCTGAGACCCTTGAGGCTCAGTTGAGCCATCACGGTGACTTGAGCATGTGAATGTTTGCAGACAAGGCCACCAGAAGTCACTCCTAGATGACATCATGAAAGTATATAGATGCTGTTTTGAAGCTACTAGGTTTTGATGAGCATTTTTACGTGTCTAATTCATACCCAAAGATTAATCCTCGTGACTGTTTCTTCCTATAGAAAGAGGCTAAAAGGTTGAATTGTGTTGGCAAAGAAACAGCTTAACGGTTCAGGTTCACTTGCTTAGAGAGATGCCACCATCTTCAGCTTACACCCTTTTGGGTTAAATGAAGAACACAGCCAGTGTGGTGGCTCATCCTTATAACCCCAGCACTTAAGAGGCAGAGGCAGGAGGACTGCTCTGAGTTCCTGGCCAGTGCAGGCTACGCAGTGAGCTCCAAGCTAGCCTTTGGACAATGTGATAATCTTGTCTAAAAACAAAACAAAACAAAACAAGAACGTAATGTTTGGCAAATGATAAAGGACTTTGGGAAGGAGGGTCAGTAACAAGGGATAAGAAATGGAAGATTTGGGTCCTGGTTTTCCTTTCATTACGTCATTTTCTGACCTTAAAACATGCCCTGGCCTCTTGGTGCTTCACTGATTTTGTTTGCTTGTTTGTTTGTTTGCATTAGAGATAATATGAGAGCCAATCCACTCCTAACTCAACTTTCCTGAAGCTTCGATCACTTGTTACAGCTGCCTAGCATTGTTGTGGGGGAGGGGATATGGATTTTAGCCTCTTTCACTTACCCATTCGCTACAGTGGGTTGTAAAAGGCGTAGATGGTTCTCATAATCTATGACAACACTTTGGAGGCTGAAATGTGTCCCTCCTGGAGAAGTTCTCTTCTACTGTGCCTAAAAGAGAAGTAATTTGCCTTGTAGTTGCTCTCTCCCTTTCTGTGGGTGTGAGCGCTAAACCCGATCACAGCCCAGTTTTGGGGCCCTGAGCTGCCTGGGAAATGGAAGGAACCTGGGTCCTTGAATGATGGGAGTAGGAGCCCCTTGAAGACCTGTGCTGCTCACACTGGGAAAGAAACGAGCGTCTGTCTATTGGCCCCACCCCCGCCGTGTGTGTGTGTGTGTGTCTGTGTCTGTGTGTGCCTGTGTGCATCTTTTGGTATTTTTCCTTTTCAGACTTTAAAAAGCAAGCTCTTGATTTGTCTTACACTCACAAGGGCACCTGCACTGTTTCCCTTTTAAGGGTCCCTGCCTCTTCTGTTCGACCCACCCACACAGGACAGCTGAGCAATAAGTCACGGGGAAGGGACAAAGGGACATTAGTGCGGTGCTTCCCTACCTAGAAGTGATCTCCCCTAAATGGAATCAGTGAGCTCATAGCTCTTGCTTTTCCCCTAAGCCTTTATCTAGTTCCCTTTGCCCTAGTTAGATGGTGATACAGGAACCCTGCCCTGGGGGTTTGGTTCATCAACCAGTGGCTTCAGTTTCTGTCAGGATCTAGCTCACTTCTCCTTTCTGCTTTATGTACACGGCCCTTTGCTTTCCAGACAGCTAGACAACGCATAATCCCCTCAGAGCACACAAAGACTTTCAGTACCTAGAAGAAGCAGACAGGCAATCAGACATATGGACATTCCCGTAACTTAAAAAAGAACATCGTAGGGAAGACGTACTGAGGAGAGGCACGTGACGTGTGGGCAACAGTGCCAAATAAAATAAAAGAAGAAGAGAGAAAAATAAAGGTGTGTACTGGCAGCAAAAACCTATATGCCTATCGGTTATTAATCAGAAAATTCAAAAACTTCAAATCAGATAAAGTGGATAAATGGAAAATTAAAATTCTTCTCCTACATCTTCATCTCAAGCCCCAAGTACCCTGCCATTACATGGTAAATATCCATCCCAATGGTCAGTTTGAGAACAGATATGTGGGCTTTCATTATAAAAAAAAAAACCTGACCACAGTACACATATTTATTATCTAGCTGGTCCAGAATTTCAAACCCAGGGCTTTCTGCATGGTAGGTGAAGCCCTTCCTCATTTCCCCACATCCCGGCCTCATTCCCATATCAGGACACACGTACTTTTATAATCTAAAAATAATAATATAGAGAGTCGGTGAGATGGCTCAGTTGATAAAATGATGCCCACATAAACCTGAGGGCCTGAGCTCATGTCTGGAACTCATATAAATGCGTAAGGAAAGAACCAACGTGGTGCATGTGCCCGCACACACAGAAACTGCTGTGCAGAAGAGCTGGGAATAGAGTCCAGTTGTGGGTGGCTGTTTGTCCAGCCTACAGTAAAACAAACGCTTACACAGACTTCCCCACTAAAGAAACTGATTTAATAGAATGAACGTCTCCCTGATTCTCCAGAATTGAGAGGTCTATTTCCTTCTACACTCATGTATGTTCAGAAACATCTTCCCTGTTGGTTTCTTACAAATCTTGAGCAAAGAATCACAATCCTACACTTTTACACATCCCCAAAATATATGAGTGAACACTGAGACCTTTGGATATGTAAGCATGTGGAGTTTCCCTCTGGGAAACTTACCGTGTGTGTCTGTGGTGTGTGTGTGTGTGTGTGTGTGTGTGTGTGTGTGTGTGTGTGTGTAGGGGGGTTACTCCAACAAAGCCAAAACGAAACTGCTCTCAGGAATCTTTACTGGAAACAGAGACCAACATTTTAAGTCTTGTAAAATTTTAGAGTCTAAAGTTGAAGTCTTAACCAGCTCTGAAAGGAGAATTTAAGTATTATAAAGAAACTGAAGGCCAGTGTGGCGGTACACGCCTTTATTCTCAGTGTGCAGGAAATCTCTGTGAGTTCAAGGTCAGCCAGGGCTACACAGTTGGTGGCCCAGGCCTTTAATCCCAGCACTGGGGAGGCAGAGGCCCTGTATATCAGAGAGTTTGAGGCAAATATTCTTTTAATTATTTAAAAAAAATTATGACGCATCCTAAATAATGTTTACCCCACCACACACCAGTTTTCCCTTACAAAATCCTGTAAGGATTTTGAATTATGGCAAAATTTTCTGGAAGAACTGAGTAAGATAAAAGAGTCTTTTAAAAAGTGAGCTGCAACTGAGCAAGAGAAACCGGGCGCCTGTCAGTGGGGGAGGAAAAATTGCACACACAGTTTATTAGATAGAAAAGGAAAATACTATATTTTAAACATATTTCAAATGAAAGAGCAAAACATTGTTTCCTTAATACTGCAAACACAGTTTATTAGATAGAAAAGGAAAATATTATATTCTAAATATATTTCAAATGAAAGAGCAAGGCATTGTTTCCTTAATAATGCTGGGAGCCATGGGTGTGGCGAGGTTGGTAAAGGCTCTTGCCAACAAGTCTGAAACCCTGAGTGTGATCTTGGGATCCACATAGTGGGGAACAGCGATCCAGCGCCCGCTTTTCCTCTGATCTCTTTCCGTCTCTCTGACTCCGTCTTTCTATTGCTCCCCACTTCCCCATACACAGGGAGATATAAATAAATGTAATTAAAAGCTGATGCTAGCAAGGAGCTGTGAGTATTGCTCAGTCAGTAGAACGATGGCTTAGTACCCACAAAGCCTTGGACTCAGTCATAAATACCATGTAAAAGTGGTTATAATCACAACACTTGGGAGGTAGAGCCAGAGGATTAGAAATTTGAGGATTATGCTGGGCGGTGATGGCGCACGCCTTTAATCCCAGCACTCGGGAGGCAGAGGCAGGCAGATCTCTGTGAGTTCGAGGTCTACAAGAGCTAGTTCCAGGACAGGCTCTAAAAGCTACAGAGAAACCCTGTCTTGAAAAACAACAAAAACAAACAAACAAAAAAAGAAATTCAAGGATTAGAAGTTGAAGGCCAACCTAGATTAGATGAGACCCTGTCTCAAATAAAAATGCTGAGAAAGTATCATTTTACTGAACATTTTGTTATAGCTTTGCACCATGGAGATAGATCTAAAGTCAGCCATGTTGGCTGTGAAGGCTCCTGGCTCATACCTGTTAGCCCCCATCCCTCTGCTCCCTAGCAATAAGCCCCCTGGTGGAAGCGATGCATACCTGTTTTGATGTTTCCAATCCCTGGACTTCTTACCTCTCACTCAGTCCATTCAGGTTTTTGTTCTCCACCAACTTCATTGAAGCCACGCTTGTCCGTGCCACCACCGACTTTGCGTTGCTTGTCCCAGCGGTATGCCTGGTTGATCTCGTCCGATCCAAAGCGGTATAACGCTTTTCTCCTTAGTGTACTTCCCACGGCCGTGTTCACACATCTAAAATGGCCCCCTTAGCTTTCCCCTGCTCCCCAAAACTGTTCACGTGGATTCTCAACAACTCCGTTTTTGTATTCGTTCAGACTCAAGATTGCTGAGTCGTCTTTAACTCTTCTTCCTTTATTTCGTAGGACAGTCATCTGGTGGTTACATCTTCTGCACTGATCCCACTGAGCCACGGTCCCTGTGCTAACTAATGTCAGCTATGCCGCATTTCAAGTGGGTTGATGCAGCCTCCAGATGGCCCTGCTTCCAACCATGTTAGTACCACAGGCCATGTCTCAAAACATTTAAATGGATTCTTGCCTCACAGTAGAATCTAAAGACTGCACAAACCCTGTGCATATGATCACACCCCCCCCCCCAACCCGCCTTCCTTCTCTGCTCCTAAACTCGCCTCATTCACTGCTTCCGTCATGGAAGACTCTTGCTAGTCCTAGAAACGATGCTTGAACCTTTTCAGCGGCTCCTGCTCTGTGAGTCTGCCTAGACCTAAATACCCCTTGGTGAGCCCCTTCTTTCTGTCTTTACTCAGGTATTATCTTCAGCAGCCTGATGCTCACCTGGAGCCTCAGGCTTCCCTGCAGAATCCCTGAACCCTCTGGGGGTCTACCCACAAAATCAGGTCTATCCCTTGCTTTATTGTTTTTCACTACTGTTCGTGATTCACTAGTTACTATATAACCAATTTTTTTTTCTGTCTACCCCTTTAGAATGTAAGTTCCAGAAAGTCATGAATATTCTTTTCTTTTGCACTTCTTTTAAAATGCTGGTGCAGCCTCAATCCTAACAAAGATAAGTTTAGTATCAATAGGTTAATTATGTTTAATGCCTATACAAAGTACACGAGGAAATATGTTTTCAAAATTCCCCCAATAGAATTTGATGATATCAAGTCGTACTCAGTAATGCCACTCCCAAATGTTCATCAGTATAACTAAGCAGTACACGGAAACCCTGGTCCAGGTAACTAATAGGTAATTGGAAATTATTTTGTTCTAAAAATCTCTCTCAACCTCCCATGCTTCTTAGGCTTGGTGTACATTGATCATTACCTGGGGATGTTTTGTAAACATGTGGAAGGTTTGATGTCAATCCCGTTGAGAGAGTCTAGTTATGTCTTTTTCATAGTATCAACTATTAGTGATTATGACTGGAATGTAGGAATTCATTAGGAACTATAGGTGGTATCCCTATTAACATCTCCTGGCTTGTATTTTTTTTTCATCCACAAAATAAAAGGTCTTATATTGCAATCCCTACTTCCTTGGGACTGAAGGCCACCTGACGATATACAATCTCACGAACTAACAACTACTGGATTCTTGGTCTTTCTGTCAGGAGGCAGTTATTGTTGAACTAGCTGGACCACACCCTGCCAGCCACTCTAATGAATTCCCCTTTGATACATCAGTTCTGTTCCTCTAGAGAACCTTAATATAGAGCACTGACTCTTTCTTCACGGAGAGGTGAAGGTATCTGTGTGCATGTATGAGCTTGACCATGCTCCAAAATAAGAGATGGGTATCCGTTTTGATTGTAGCGACATTACCATAGTAAATCAGAAATCTGTGGCCGTGATATACTGCTCAGGCCTGCTTCCCAAGTGCTGGAGATTGCAGACCTTTGCCAGCAAACCGGCTAGTAAATGGGAATTCTAAATAGTCATAAGACCCACGTGTGTCTGCAGTGAGCATAGGGAATCTGATACTTTCTGTAGGCTTGTTAGGGGCTCTGGGACCTGCCGTGCTGAGTTTGTACATTATTTTATGTCTTTGTTCATACTTTCAAGTTTACACAGGCCACAGGAAACAAGTAGACAGTACCAACTCTTTGCTTTATCCAGGTTAAGTGTTCTCAGAGTTTTGTAAGACTAAGCCCCATGGAGCTGCGTGGGGGTGGTGCACGCCTTTAAATCCCAGCACTAGGGAGGAAGAGGCAGGCGGACCTCTGTGAGTTCAAGGCCAGTCTAGTCTACAGGGTGAGTTCAAGGACAGCCAGGACAGTCAGTCTCTCTCTCTCTCTCTCTCTCTCTCTCTCTCTCTCTCTCTCTCTCACACACACACACACACAGAGAGAGAGAGAGAGAGAGAGAGAGAGAGAGAAAGAGCGTGCCTGGTGGGGGGGGGGAACTCTGTGTTGGGGGAGGAAGTGAGAGAGGAACAGTTGAGTGTGTCCCGGGAGGTAGGGCGGGGAAGGGCAGGGCCAGCCTCCACAGTAGCTTCTGCTTCTTTTAAGGCTTGCTTTTCTTTTCTCTTTTTTTGGGGTGTGTGTTTATTTTATTTAATATAGTTTTTTTTCATACAGTATATTCTGATTATGATTTTCCTTCCCCAACTCCTCCTAGGTCCTCCCAACCTCCCCTCCCATCCAAATCCACGCCTTTTCTTTCTCTAGTTAGAAAACACACAGGCATCTGGAAAGTAGTAATAAAATAAATCAAATAGAATAAAGCAAACAAATGGAAAAAATAGTCAAAGAAAAAGCACAAGAAACACCTACGGCCACAGAGACGCACATTCGCACTCAAGAATCCCACAAAACCACATAACCAGAAACCATAAAATATATGAAAATGACCTTTAAGGTTAAAATAAGAAAAGCCCTGATAAAGAACATCCAAAAATGCCACCGGGCTGGTTTTGTATTGGTCACCTACTGCTGGGCATAGGGCCTGGCCTCAAGAGTGGTTTGTATTACCAGAGAGACTCTGTTGGAAGTAGCTTCTGGGTTTGAGATGGGAGGATGCATCCACTTCCCCTCTGAGTGATGGGACCCCATCTGGTCCAGACCCGTGCTGGGCCTGGTTTAAGTATTCAGGTCCTCTTTATAAAATGTGTATATAATTCTGAGCAATCTCCCTTAATTAATTAATGAATTAATTTGGTTTTCTGAGACAGGGTTTCCCTGTGTAGCTTTCGAGCCTGTCTTGGCACTAGCTCAGAACGCCAAGCTGGCCTGGAACTCACAGAGATCCGCCTATCTCTGCCTCCCAGGTGCTGGGCCTCTGTATTACCAAGTGCCACCACGGTTCAGCCCAATTCTTTATGAGGGCAAATGGTTGAGAATTCAGGGAATGGTTAGTCTCCCCTCCAAACTTCTGGCCACACTTTGCTCTATTATTATTATTATTATTATTATTATTTAGTATGCAAAGAGGTTTACAAGTTACTGTAAGAGACAACCTCGTTTTTCCGGATCCCAATTTTAAACACGCCTAAAGGAGGGAAGTTGGTGGGCAAGCTCCCTTCGGGTGGGATGCTGGGGCCTGGCTCCTCGATCCCGCTCGCCCACTCTCCCGAGGCCCGGTTCCTTCTCAACCGCACACTTGCTCTACCCATGGGGTCCGAGACGGCAGCGTTCCACGGGATCACGGTGCGAAAGGGCCAGGCTGGAGGACTGAAGTCCCCCGAGGACAGGGACAAGAAGCCCAAGCTCTCAGCGAGAGGCCAAACCACCAGCTCGATCGAAACCCGGAAGACCGTGGAGAGCCGGCCGGGGAGAGGAGGGTGTGGCGGAGCGCAGGTCGCCGCGCCGGGGGCGGGGCTTGTGCGTCTGGGGCGGGGCTAGGGCGGCCGCGCCGGGCCGAGGCGCTCCGAGCTTCCCAGATAGGCGGGCTGGTGGGCGTGGCGACGTCGCGTGACGCCATAAAATGGGCGGGGCGAGGGAGTAATAAAGCCGGCCGGAGGGCGCGCTCGGCAGTCGCTGGCTGTGCGTTTGAGCGGCTGCTTGCCGGTAGTTTGCTGTCGCGGTCTCTTCCCGGAGCCTGAGCCCGAAGGGACACGCGCGTGCGTGCGTGTGTTGTGTGTGAGGGACGGCGAGACTCGGGCAGGGCGGTCCCCGGCTGCCTCTTCCCTTTGCCCAGGCGGCTGCAGTCCGCACCCTTGTTTGCTCGCCGCCCGCTCGGTGTGCGGAGTGCGCGTCGTCTTTTTGATTTTGGAACTTGTGAGCGGTTTTTTTTTTCTTTTTTTCTTTTCCTTCCTTTTGGCTCGGTGCCTCCAGGGCTGGTCTCCCCGGCCCCCTGCCTAACCGCTTCTGACCCCGGTCACCAGCCCCGCCCCAGGTTGCCCCCCTCCCCCGGCTCTGCCCCTTGGCCCCGGAGGGTGGGAAGCTTTGCCCAGCGGGTGTCCGCAGCGTAGCCGCACCTGCCTCAGTATGCTCGGGGTCAACGACCCTCCGCTTTTTATAAAAGACATTAAGGCCGGACTGAAAAACTTAAATGTCGTCTTTATTGTCCTGGAGATAGGTAAGTGGGGTCCGCAGCCCACCCCACGCCCTCGAGCGTTCGGACTTCTTTCCCACCCACCCCCCCCCCCGCCCGCGCCCCCACGTGCTCCCAGCCGCCCTAGGCCGGACTCGGCTCCTAACCCGGGACAGAAGCCAGTCCTGTACCGTGTCCTAGGACGGTGAGGCAGCTGCCCTGAACGGCCTCGTTATCTAACACACCTCCCCCCCCCCTTTTGGATTTTTATAAATCTTCACAGGACGCGTGACCAAAACCAAAGACGGCCATGAAGTGAGATCCTGCAAAGTAGCTGATAGAACGGGCAGCATCACAATTTCTGTGTGGGATGAGATCGGAGGGCTCATACAGACCGGGGATATTATTCGGTTGACCAGAGGGTAGGTGTGCATAAATTGGGGTAGGTGCAGGGTTGGCCGGGTTATGGGAGCCTGCCAAGTTCTCAGAGTTCTTAAGTTGCCTGGCTCTTCCATGTGGCACTTCAAGACGCTTGTGAGCTGTTTTGGGGGGGCAGAATTGGCCTCAGCTCACCTTTTGCGGCTAAGCGTATTTCAGGTACAGAACTAACTCCTCACCTCCAATTCGAAAGGTTCGTTGTATTTTTTTTTTTTTAAATACTGTATGGGAGTTAGTGAGCCCTTTTAGTAGGCGATTAAGACCTGCACTACTTTTATAATCGGCCCATATATTTGATACAGTGTCTTCCAAATCCTTCCCTTTTTAGTGCCTTGAAATCCTGTCAGCAGTTTTTGTTTACGTGGTATGGGCATAAACTCAGTAGCTGGGAATTTTGCTCTTTTATCTTCCTTTTTTGGAAACAGTGTCTCCTGTATTCCAGGTTGTTTTTGAACTTTAAGATGTCCAGGAGAAAGAGCTTGAACCTCTGACCTTCCTGCCTCCACTGCCCAGGCGGTGGGATTACAGGCATGGACCCAAAATGTCCTGGGGATGAGCCAGAGGCCTCCTGCATGCCAGGCAAGCAAGCATTCTGCCATCTGAGTCCTAGCTTGAACTTAACATGTTCTGTGGTCCTATTTGTACTCAGAAAAGATGAAGACCGTGTCTCAAATGGTTGTGGAAATGATTTCTTCTGTAAGATCAGTGTTCTTACCACACCCCACCCCTCCAAAAAAACCCAAAATACACAAAAAGTGGCAGAGGGTGTCTGATACCTTCAGAACGTTTACTTGGCAGACTGTTGGCTACAGAGGCGGAGCACTGTTTTCATCAGCTTTTACACTTTTTCCCAAATGTTACACTTAGGAAAAGGCCAGAAAAGAATCTTAGAAATCTGAAAGCCTACATGATGAGAATTGTACGGATTTTATTGGTCACTACCAGGACCAAACAGTTGGTAGTTGATGTTGGCTAAGAGAATCTCCCGGGGCAGGAACTCTTTGCCACTGTGGTGCAGGCCTTACAGCATTTTCAGGAAGTGAGGTTGAGTGTCATCAAAGCAGGAAGTGAGAGTCAGGACTCAGACATCTTATTCTCAAACACTGAGTCATTGTGACATGACATTACATCTTTGTCACTTCAGCCAAGAAGAAGTCCTTCTTTGGAGGCTATGGTGAGGCCCATAACAACACTAATAACGATAGCAGTGAATATATATTATAGGCCATATTTAAGCCATGAGGTAACCTTGGTGGTTGAACAAAGAAACATTGAAAAACCAGACTTTGGTCTGTCCGATTCTGGAGGGGAGAGAAGGGGTAATGTTATCAGTAGTTAGCACAGGCGGAGTTGCTTTGCTGTCAGTGAAGAATTGCTTCCATTGGTCCAAGTTCTCCACATTGTCTTTTAGAAGAAAATGTTACACTTTCTCGACGGACTGTTGGACTGCGGTTAAAATTATTTTAAAACACGGGCACCTAATTTCAGCAGAAGGGACGCCTGTAAGATCTTCTGCGTTGCACGGTTAGAGGCAAACACGCATTTTCTACGCTCTGTAGACTTCGCGTGGAGCTCAGTTAGGGGGAAGAGGAAGGGAGACGAAAGCAAGGCGACCGAGGAGTTAAAGTGGGTTCTGAGGAGGAGCTGCTAGCAGCAGAAATTGAGTTCTTCCTGCTTCAGCTTCCCGGTCAGGGTCAGGTCAGCTTGCCCAGTCAAGCTTTCCTTTAGCTAGCGCAGGGGCCCATGCCTGGCTTTCCAGTTCCTCCCGAGGCTGAGACAGGAAGTGGCAAGGGTTCCGGGGCGACAGAACAAGGTCAAGACCAGCCTGCACAGCTTAGGGAGCTGTCTGAATATAAGGCTTTTATTAAAAACAAGATCTGGGAGCCTAGCTTAGTGACTGAGTGCTTGCTGAGTATATGTAAGGGAGGCCCAGGTTCAGTCTCCGGCAGTGCTCAACAATTTTTTTCTAGGGTTATAATTTAGATGATTATGTCGTAATGTGGCAGTCGAATTTTCTTCGTATCATTTCTCAGAAGAGTTACATGGGCTATATTTGACTTGACACGGTGGGTAGAAGGGTTGATTTGCACTTGTATCTAACACAGAAATACACTGGAAAGGAAACAGAGCTCTACATTCTTCTGAAAACCTGATCTGTTTCCCCGCTAGGTATGCATCAATGTGGAAAGGATGCCTGACACTTTATACTGGAAGAGGCGGTGAACTTCAAAAAATTGGAGAGTGAGTATTGAAGTCCATTTTGTGTGACGAAGTTTCAAATAATGTCTTCAGAATACTTGGTGCCAACTCTACACTGCCTACTTAGCCTTGGACACTTGATTCATGTTGTTGGGAGGTAACTGGCTTAAACCCTGTCAGTACTCAGGTGTGTTGAGAGCAGCCCCAATGGGGCCGGCCCTTTAGTGTCCTGTGTTAGGAAGTCTTTGGGTCAGGATTACAGGATCTGGCTAGATGTGACGCACACAGAGATGTTACAGTCATGGAGATCGACTCAGGGAAGAACCACAGGAAGTCACTCACTCGTGGCTCGTCTTTGTCGGGGTCAATTTCAGACATTTCCCAACTGGATCTAGTTTCTTTTTAGAGTTGAAGAGCTAAGAAAACCCTGTGTGAACAGGGTGCCAAGTTGTATTGTCAGTTAGAAGAAGTCCTGGGCTGACGTGGTGGCTTGCTAGCCAATTCTCTATCGTAGTCATGAAGAAGTTGTTCTTCGCCTTTAATTATCTTTGCAGATTCACAGTGAACAAGAGGGATTCGATGAGAGAATCAAGTAGTCAGGTGTTAATACGGGACATAGTTATTTAGGGGATTTTTTTAAATCACAAATTAATTGAATTAGCTCGCTAATGTTAAGGTAATTCTTTGACACCGAAGGTTTTCATTCTTGAGAGTTAAGGAGGTTATACAAAAAAACGTTGGGAAATCAGTCTACTTATCCTTTGGTTTGTTCCAGATTTTGTATGGTGTATTCAGAAGTGCCGAATTTCAGTGAGCCAAACCCAGATTACAGAGGGCAGCAGAACAAACCGGTAATTAATCCAAGTACATGGTATATTTTTATGATTGAGTTAATTCTGTCAGTAGGCTAAACCTCTGATGTCCAAACTGTAATGAAAAGAATTGTGAAATAAGATTGAAGGGGTTTGGCTTAAGAGATAGACTGCTTGCCAAGCATGCATGAAGGCCTGGGCTCTGCCCCCCAGTACTGGTGTGGTGGTGCAGGCCTGTAGTCCTGTTTCTCGGGAGGTTGGAGAGAGGAGGAAAGGTCATGAGACCCTGGCTCGACAAAGGAAATCTCCAAAGTAGCTTTTATCACATAGATTCTGTGAGTCCGTATGCTTTGTAACAATATATAGATGTGCTGTTTAGCATTTTGCAGAGTAAAGGTAATAATCAGGAAATACTGGGTGTAATAAAAGCTATTAAGAAGCTTGGGTAAGATTTCTGAAAGCCTTAACATTGCATGGACTTAGACAGATCATTAAATATCGTGGAAAATCACTTTTGAAGCCTTAAAAGTAAAAAAAAAAAAAAATTATTTTCTACATGTGTTACTTCTGTCTTCATTTGCCGAACTTCAAACTTCTTTCAGGTGCAGAATGATAAAGCGAGCGTCAGTGCGTTTGGACCACTGGGTAAGACTTTGTCCATGTTTGTGATGACATGTGAACATTCTGGGAACTATGAAAAACGTAAAGGGAAAATTCTCTTTCGGTCTAATTTTTTGTCTTTAATGGGAACTCTGGCAAGCAAGGACACTCAAATAAGTGATTCTGTAGAAGTTAGAGCATGCTTGTCCAGGCCAAGTGTTGAGCACCCCCTGTATTTAAACCCCGGCCCCTTGATTAGTAAGAAGACTCTTTTTGGTACCCCTCAGACAGATCTTTTGTTTTTCTGTTTTTACAAATGCATATGATGTAGTGGCTGTTGATAATCTGTGCAGAATTACTAGGTCTTCTGGCGCACTGGGACCTGCCCAGGAAAATGGTGCTGTTTGTAGAGTAGCGGCCGTGAGGCGTTAACAAAGAACAGCCTTTCTTCCGCAGCCCTCACCGGTGATTGCCGGAGCCTGTGTCTTTTAGATGCATCCTTCTGTGAATGGAGTTCGTTAGGGCAGCTGAAGGCTTTTGTAACCAGCTCACTTCGTGGAAAATCTGCCAATAGTTTGATCACATTGGAATATTAAACAGTTCTCTGCCCCTCCTTTGATTTACAGGACAGGCAGTTAATGATCTTTTACGGTCTATTCCTAATTTTATTGCTCATTAGGTTTTCTCCTTTCTATTCATTCAGTACCGAGGTCATGTATTTGGTAATACAGAGGCCCGGAGCCCACTTTTTCCCTTATAGAATAAAGGTACTTGTTTCCTGTGATATTTATAAGCTCTTACCATGTGCGTAAGAGCTTTAAATGATTGTGTTTCTGTAGCACGATAGAGACCACTTCTGAAAAATGATGCTAATGTTTTTGTATTCTTATCGCAGGAAATGGTGTTCAGACTGGCCCCGAATCAAGAGGATATCATCTTCCATATACTGGTAGAAGCAATGGCCGGGACCCCACCAATCCCCAGCTACCAGGAGCTCGGAGTAGTCAGACAGTCATGACCACAATCAGTAATGCCAGGGATCCAAGGAGAACCTTTAAAAGATGACCTAAGCCAAAGAGACACGTGTAGTTTTTAAACTACCTGCCCGACTTGAACACTTAGTGCACTTTTTTTCATTGTTAACTGTGAAAAGTTTGTCTCTTACGGGTTTCCTTGTATAGTTTTGGTTTGTTCAGAATGGTTGGTTTTTCCTGCAAGCCTTGAGCCGCTCGGTTACATCCTATTGAAGAATAGGAACTCTGAAAGCAGGAACATTTATTTTTAGAGCAAGAACTTACTGGGTATCACTTGAAAACCCGTCCCTGTTTCAAGGGTGAGTTCCTTAAGACACCAGCTTTCTATAGCCTTGGTGAGTCTTCTGCGTACATTTTGTAATGTTTGCCGTAACATTTCATGGAAAATGTTCTTTTGTCTTAAACTGGGCTATGTCCAGCTGAAGTGATCTCCACCCCAGCCAGAAGCCTGACCAGTGCTGGCAGCGGTTTGAGTGTTGTGGCCCCGCGGTGACTGCCTGCCTGGAGTGACTGGCCTGCCGTTGAGATTTGTCCAAGGACGGAATCATCCTGCATTCTTGTGTAATTACCAGAAACCCAGATTCTTTATCAGAATTATGGAATAAAGCGTGTAATAATAGAACAAGTTATCTTTAGAGGGAAACTGTTTAAGATAATGTACTTACCATTGGTTACAAACATTTGAAGAAAAATTTACAGCGGAGTCCCTGAATGTTTGCTTCTTGAAACGACCCTGTGGAGTGTCGGTGGAACCGGACGGAGTCTTCACGCTGCTGCAGGGGGCGGTGCTCTCATTAGTAGCTGTCGTCCTTCGGAGACAGGGTCTTCTGCAGCCCTGGCTGGGTGGGAACTTGTAGACCAGGCGGGCCTCTGAACTCCAGAGCTTCCTGTCCCCCTCTCCCAGGTGCTGTGGTGAAGCTGTGCCCCAGCACCCCTGGCTGGTCTTATTAAAAACAAAACACTGGTGGTAGATAAATTCCAGCCACGTGACCACCCATTACAGGTCATCAGGTAGAAGGAAACACGCTGGGGTAGGCACGGCCTCTCTTCTAGAGGAGTGCGCGCGCTTTAGTTTCCGAACCCAAATCACACAGCCTTATTAGCAAAGATAAAAGGCTTAAGAAGTATATACCTCGATTGCAGATGGTAGGGTGGGGGCTGTGTGTCCTAATGTCTTGTTCTGTGAGGACACAGCCCAGTTCCCTGAAGCTGCGGCAGCTTCGGTCTGGCTGCTCCCCAGCTCTGTGCCTGTTCTCTCCCCCCACCTCACACACGGTACAATAAGTAAGTTTCTATTCAGGTTCTGTAGCATTTCGGTACAATCTGTGCCAGATTCTGTTCTCATTCGTTGAACAGATTTTCAGTTTGCAATATATTAGGCTCCTCGTGGAGATTATAACATTTGAGAAACTGCAGGGAATTTACGTATGGTTTATAGGTGCAGGGTCTTGATGTTATAGGTAATTGGTCATTTGTTCAGACATTAATAATTATAGCTAATTTTATTTTGTGATTTTTTATGATTTTTGTTTACACTGCTGAATGCTTCAAAAAAAGTTACCTAAGAGTAAAAGTAGCTTGTGTTTTGTAATGACAGATGTTTTAAATAAAAATAATTTACACCTTAATGTTTATAAGAGGTAGGGGCAGCAGTGCTTTTCTGTGTGGGAAGATGTGGTGTTAAAGGTAATTCTAAGGAAAGGATTTGAACTTTGACAGATCGAAGGATGGTAAGATGTGGATCGCTGGACCCTCAATCCTAACTGCATTGTCTTCCTGACTGTGGTGCCCAGGCAAGTCGTGATTGGGAAAAACAGCCGTGGTACTCCTTTGAGGAGTTAGGATTTGGATGTAGGGAATGACAGTAACTTCCGGCAAATGATCAGTCACATCTCGTATGGTCAGAATGTTAACAGAGGGGATGCCAGGCTCCGTGTGGAAGTGTCAGTGTGCTTTGAGGTACTGAGCTTAAGTAGAACACGGTCTAAGATTTTACTTATGACTGACGCGTCTCTCAGTAATATGACATGTTCTGTGGTTTGATGTATTAACAAGTTTCTTTTTTCTTAAGGAACACTTCCAAAACCAAAGCCAAGTGACATCCACACAGTAATGACTAATTGCCTTCCCAGTCTGCTTGGCTGCCACTCATCAGGAGGTGATGGAAGACAGTGTCCGCCTTCCTCCTGACGCCGTCAGCTACCAGCGTTGACACACCTTTCAACGAGACCCAGTGAAACAAAAACCATGTAGTGTAGAAACGCACTTCTAGGATTGGGTCCCCCTTGTTTCCAGGAACGGTTCTGGAGAGGAGCAACAATGATCAGGGCAGCTTGTCCCTTTTGTCTGGACATGTGTCCAGAGTTGCCACAAAGTGGTCCAAAACACTGAAAAGGTCCAAAAATGTCCAGATGGCCAAACACTGAAGTTTGCCTTCATAGAAGCACTTAAACAGCCCGGCTTTCCTATACCATACCTACTCCCTGTTGGACTCTTTCTCCAGTCTTAGTAGCTTGGTGTTCAAACTTGAAGGGTGATTGTTTTTAGAGTATGGTTTGCAGGTTAACTAGCCATCTAGATATTTAGAGCATGGTTTG